GCTCAGTTGGTTAAGCGACTGCCTTCTGCTCAGGTCATGATCCTGGAGTCCCGGGATCGAGTCCCGCATTGGGCTCCCTGCTCAGCAGGGAGTCTGCTTCTCCCTCTGACCCTCCCCTGTCTCATGCTCTCTCTCTCTAGCTCATTCTCTCTCTCAAATAAATAAATAAAATCTTGAAAAAAAAAAAAAAGATTTAACCTGAAGCCAATGCAAGAATATTTTGATGGCAGTGTCAGCCAACACTTGCTGGGGTCAAATGAGAGTTGTCCCCAAGATGGAGTGGGCCAAGGCCCTTGGAGTCTTGGATCTCAAGTGATTCCCAATTTGGATTTGTTGAATTTTGATGCTATCTTCCTTTATTCTCACATACTCTCTAGCCAACCATGTATTTCAAAAACCATTCATTTTAGCAATGAAAATTTACTGCTAAGATTTCTCTGTGATTAACAAAACTTCTTGTGAAGATTTGGATAAAATATTTGAATGCTTAAGTGTACTTCCTGAGTGCGGATTCCTCTTTAATCTATTTCAAATGTTAACTGAATGCCCCTGCCTTGAATATTTTAAAACTGGCCTATACCTGCATATAATACCTACTTACTGATGGATTTTAAAAGCCATTTTCTTTTTTCTTTCTTTTTTTTTTTGAGTACCACCGCCACAGCCATGAGGTTGGCTTCAATGCTGATGAAGCGCACAGTATCGTTAGAGTGTGTAGATGCGGTCTTGGGTGGTGAAGATTATAACCAGAACAACATCAACCAATGGACTGCAAACATAGTGGAACAATCCTTGACACATTTGGTTAAGTTGGGAAAAGCTTATAAATATATTGTGACCTGTGCAGTGGTCCAGAGGAGTGCCTATGGCTTTCACACAGCCAGCTCGTGTTTTTGGGATACTACATCTGATGGAACCTGTACCGTAAGATGGGAGAACCGAACCATGAACCGTATTGTCAGTGTTTTTGCCATTGCTATTGTCCTGTGACAGATTAAAAATGTTCGGCCAAAGCCATTAACTTAAAAAAAAAAAAAAAGCCATTTTCTACACAGATAATAAAACAACTCTCAGTGACAATCAGATTTGTTCAGAATCCCTTCACCCAAATGAATAGATTTGAATCCCCACCCATGCACTGAGGGTAGACATGGCTAATGAATAATTAACTGCTTTCGGCTTTGGTTAGATACAGAGTCACAATGTTCAGTTATCAGAAGTTTCAGTCAAGATACAACTTGTCATCCTAGCCTCAGTCTTCCTCAATTTAATTCAAACGTTGATTTTTATTTCAATTTCTAGGTAATAACCAACATTCTCCATTTCACATAGCGCATTGGGAGCAGCTTCAAGCAATACACATTTGACATTTGTAGTCATTAAGCATTTGGGTTTTTTCCTAATGGGAATGGATAAAGTGGGAGGCAGGCTTGTCCTGAGTATCACAGCTTTGAGAAGTCAACATTGCAGATGATTGCTCAGGAGCTGTCGCAGCAAGAGACCACCTATGAGGAAAATAGAGATAATTACAAACAACAATCACAGCTGTTAGCGGCCGCACTCAGAACACATCCTCAGCGTGAGAAGATTGCTACTGATGCATCAGACGTTGAGCCGCACTCAATCACTGGGATGGACCCAGAGTGGAGACAATCTAAGACAAAGCCAACACTAATAATAGCAGGAGAGGTCAAAACTGAGTCCAGAGTTTGCCTTGCATGAGAAAGTTTTAATCATTTCAGAATTAAGGGCTAAAGGCTTAACATATTTTGCATAAGAGCTTTATTATCTAGAGGTTACTTACCAATCAACTCTGCAAGCTTTCTTACCATACTTTAACATTTCCTATAGATGGCACTTGAATCATTATGCTTATTTTTCCCAACCGCATAAGGAGCCACTCTTCGTGCAGTTACTGGGCTCTGCCATTCAGGAAACATTCCATTGCTCCTTGACAGGGACATATAATTTTCAGTAGCCAAGGCTTAGTTATGTTTGATGCTTCTCCAGAAAAATAATTATGATTCAAGAATATTCATTTTTGGAAACACTTGTTCATTTTATTTCCTGTGAAGCATATTTAATCCTGGGATTGTTTAGTAACTCTTTTTTCCTCTAATTTCTTTTGCATTAATATCTTACCAAATCCACAGAATAACCAGCAACCATGACAAGTTGAGGGATACAAAAAGATAAAACACGTGTAAAAATAATAATAGCATAAGTCAAATAGATTAATTTAAATTCTGATAAAAATCATATGCTGCTTTGAAATAAGCAGCATAATCAGAATATATAAAAATTTATAGAGTAAGATAATATTGCCATCACTGTTCTTCTCTGTGTCCCAAATCTGCATATCCTATTAACATAAATTATATATATATTCAAGCATTTGAAATGTTTATTGTCATGTACAGAAAAGATATTTGAATTTGGCAAAGTGTTAGTAATGTGTTTGCTTAAGGAACACTGAATGCAAAAATATATTGATGAATTTTAGGTTTTGTTTGAAGTAAATGAGGGTTAGCTGGCCTGTGGTGAGAATTAGCTGGAAGTATCTATTTGAGAGACAAAAATATACAGATTAGTTGTAGCCTTGGCCATAAATGAGCTTGCATGGAGAATGTATAGAGGAACATCTCTGATCCTAAGGCAAGCAAACAATGATGGGTGTAGATTTAGTTAACTAGAGGAGAGGGATTTTAGGGTAATTACTGTATCATTCCTATTCTCTTTGCCTTAAAAGAAAGGTGAGGTCAGTTCCAAACTCATAGTGGTAGTTCCTTCTTAGAAGTCTGGAAAGTAGTCCCATTTCTTTTTTCAAATCTTAGTGTTTTGTTTTTTTTTTTTCCTCCCAAATCTGATTTTCCTCCTGTTAATGCTGATTTTGGAAGGAACTTACTGGAAAAATGTATTTTTTCCATGCTCCTGGACCCATATCACTGTGCAGCTAGGTCATGAGTAAAGTGAAGACTATGGGAAAAACAGCACACGTTCCTTTCCTGCATCTTCCATCTGTGACAATTAATCAACAAACTAAAGAACTTCTGAGTGTGTCCAAGTACATTCTAGGTATAAAATATTTTAAGCATTGTGACAAATATTTTACTTGATCTGAACAATAATCCCAAAAGAAGAAAGGGAAAACATTCTTACTATTCATCAGACTCTAAAAGCAGCTCATATTTATAGAGCATCTTATACTATGTAAAGTGTTTTAATACAATTTTCTCAATCCAGCCTCAAACAAATTACCACGGTATCAGGACAATTTACAAGAGAATAAATGTGAGTAGTTAATATTCACAAAAGTTGTTCAAGGTCACTTATGACCAAAGAAGTACAAATTAAAATTACCAGAAAACATTTTTACTTGTCAAATAATTGAGGACATGATGCACTCAATTTTGTCAAGGGCATGTGTTGGCAAAAAGGTTACTGCTGCTATAGACTGCTGGTGAACTTAGAATCTGTTATACCCTTTCTGAATGCTATTTTGGCACTAAGAATTCACTCAGGGTAAATAGGAGATAGAAACAAAGATTTATGTTTAAATGACTACATTACAGACTTATTTCTAATACAGAATATGAGAAACCATTTATGTGACAAATGTAATGTGAGGCAGTCATTTTGGAACATGAGGAAATCTTGCAAATGGAGACTAATCATCAAATGGCAGCCTAATCATTTGTAATGGCCATCCCCTAAGTTTTAGATAAGAAAAATAAAATACTTGCATAAGGCACTATTCTTTTGGGATTCAGGTGTTAGAGCCCAACCTAACTGTGGCATAACCATACTTGCTGGTAAATGTATGAATGCATTTACTTAATATTTAAAAATAAGTTTGTGATGATGCATTGGAAGCAAAGACATTCACGCAGCCATCCTTACCCTGTGTGCTTTAGGCCTTGAATTCTTTTTTTGCCTGATATTAAAATCTGGCCCCTGCTTTCTTTCTGTTAGCGTTTTCTGATGTATCTTTGACCTTCGTTTTACTTTAATCATCTGGTGGAATTTTGTTTTAGGTAGTTTCCTTGTTATCAGTATCTCACTGGATTTTGTATTTTGACCCATTCTCCAGGTCTGTTTTTCAACTGGAAATTTTCACACATTTGCATGAAAATATATTCATTATATATTGTGAAGTAAAACGTAACAGGTTACAAAGCGATATATTTAGTATCAGCTCACATATGTAGGATTAAATCCCAAATTTGTGTGCGTGTGTGTGCGTGTATGTGTATACATACAAACATATATCAGAAACGTAACTGCTTATTTCTGTGTGGCGTGAGCTTTTTTCTTCTTGCTTATATGTATTTTTTCATGAACACATATCACACACACAAAAAGAATTAAAGTTTTATAAGTAAGAGTTAAATAGTTTGCAGCCAGCTTCTAAGGGCAATGAGGGCACCTGAACTCTTGATGGAAGAACTATTAAAAAAATGTAAACCTCAAGTTACCTCTGGATCTCTTAGCCAGAGGAATAAAACTGGCAATTATTACAGATAAAAAAAAATAAGTTTTAGAAAACCTCAGTCCCTTTATTGTAAGGTGCAGAAACTGTGTTATTAGGGAAGCAGTAGGAATGAACCTATCTGGTAATCACTGACTTGGTAACCACTGCAAAGCCTATAGATACTGAAAATCTAAAGTTATTTTAAAAACTATAGAAATAAATGTCTCTGATTAAGCTGCTTAGGTAATACCCTTTATTCTGATTCTAAGACTTGATGATCCTGAGATTTCTTTTATGAGTCTATGGTTGATTTAACAGCCACATTTATTATCTGAAGAAAGTGAGAAAGATGGTGTTAAATGTTCCTCAAAGTGGAATTGAGGTTTTAATTATTACAGGACATATGGAAGAAAGGGACACTGAACAGCTCAATTCCAAGCCTGAGAATTTTTCAGTGAATATTTAAAAATACAACAGTGTGCCTATTCAATTAGGAAGCTGTTGGTGTTCATTTGCTTTCACTGGGCAAAAATTTGGCCACTCAAGTCATTGCAGCACTTCCAAATTAATAAAGAGAAAACTTTTTGTAAAGTACTGATTAATATTCCCTTAATTTTCACTTACACAAAATCAGTGCTACAAAAACTATGTAACATTTTTGGCTATGGACGTATATCTTGTGATGTAAATTTTAAGGGCACCATAACAGTTAATGAAATCTGCAAAATTAAATTCAGTATCCTGGGCTATAGGAAATTCTCAAGTTTCTTCTTGTTCTGAATTACTGTAGTGAAGATGCGAGACTTCTTGACTACTAAAACCACGTAAAGAATACAGTGTTTCTCTTCCTCAGACACCCTCTCAGAAGACTTTTTTTTTTTTTGTAGGTGACAACGCTTCTATTTAACTTTTCTATAGCATCTTACTTTATGTCACATATTCTCCTTTCTCCCTGTTTTCCTGCCTTTCTTCTTTCTTGCCTCTTTTCCTTCTCAGTTATTGAGATTAAAATGTTGATGCTACTATGGACAAAGTGCTATATTTTGGCATCCAAGGGGGCCTAGAATACTCCCTCAAATGAATTAACGCACCTGGATGCTGGCATAGATGAGCCTGCGGGGCAGTTTGTACCTGCGACTGTACACAGTGGAGAGCAGAGGATGCTCTGTGTCCTGAGGACATGTGGCCCCAGGGGGAGCTCTGCCTTCCTGGAAGCTGTGCCCAAGCCTGTCTGCCCTTGATTTCTGTTCTGTCCCAGCTCACTTCCTGTTCCTCACTCCCTCTATCCCTCTCCATCCATCTAGTTCCTTTCTTCATTGCTGCGTCTTCTTCCTCTAACTTGTCTGAAGCTTGGCTATTCTTGAGGCTCCGTCTTCTTCCTTATATACCCACTCCCCTCAGGGGCTCTTGTTATACTTGTGGCTTTCCTTATTTATGAAGGCAGACACCAAACGTATTTCTCCAGCTCTGGCTCTGGGCTCCTCACTGGACATCAGTACTAAAACTCATTTTTTTAAAC